TCATAAGGAAGAAAACAGATCGTACAGACAAGCATGAAAAGCCCTTATAGGATAGGAATCTCATGGATTCGGAATAATTGAAACATCAATCAAAATAAAGAAAAGGACTTTGAAGAACTCTTGAATGGATCAACACCACTAAATTCACGGGATAATGAGGTGGCATACACAAGATTCATGTAGATGACAAAACACTAACAGTGATAAAAATAAACAAAATCATCAGACAAATCAAGAATTACAAAGCTGCAGTACTAGACAGAATATCAGCCGAAACATTGAATAAGATATTCTATGTTTTCTTCGTAATGTGTTCGGAAGAAGAACGGGTAAATGCAAATTGGAAAAAGAGATATTTCACCAAGATACTGAAGAAAGGAGATACCAATAATTATGGTAACTATCGAAGCTTCACGATATGTTTAGTATTAAGGAACATTTTCAAATGTATCCTGTTGAACCGGATGAAATGAACAAGCTTAATTTCGTAAGCATTGATCATTCAACGACCAAACTGAGTGACGTCCGTTCTTTTTTGAGCGACCAAGTGAGTGGAACTCAACACTATACACCCGCTTTTTAACTATGAGAAAGCATTTAACAGCGTGCGTAGGAAACTCTTGTGGTATCTGGTCCCATACTATGGAGTACTTGAAACGATCATCCCCATCATACGGAACTCCTACGAGAGACTGAACTGAAAACTTGTGAATGGAAGGCAGCTCACAGATACATTCCAAGTAAAGACAAATAATTTACTCCTAAAAAGCTCACTAATGATTAACAAGTTGATGACTCAACATACATCTAATGACAAATTCAATGTGCTTTACAAAGCGTGAAGTTTATTTGATATTACATGGATTCCTTTAATGTAATACATACTTGAAAATATACGTATTAATTAGTTCTCAATGATCATCCACTTTATTATGTTTCTTCTCAGTTTTTAATAACCAATGTATTTAGTTCACTCCAATACCAATTTTTTTCTTTTTCGTCTTTTTATCTTGTAATATTCACTAATCTGCTAATCATAACGCACTAGAAAGTAATTAGTTTTGAAAAATATGCATATTTTCTTCTGAATGATAACAACCCTTCATTTGATGACAGTGATTGATTTTATTTCTTGAGTTTTTCAGAGTTTTCATCTAATTATATCCCATCAATTATCAATTTCTATGAGAATAGACAAACGTTCTCTCTCTATGGAAACCGGTTCTTACCCTTACTGTTGGAAAACCGCGTACATCATACCACGTTACAAATCTGGAGATAAGACTGGCATGAACACTTACCGGCCAATAAATATTACTCCAGTTATTTCTAGGATTATGGAAAAAGTTATAAGTGATGAATTTTCCAACTATTTACTTGCTGGAAAATTGATCAATGATACTCAACATGGATTTCTCAAAAATCGTTCTTGCATGACATGTCATTTTGACTTCTTTAATTTAGTCTATTCTCTACGTAGCCAAGGATATCTAATCTTAGTGCTATATCTGGACATTTCTGAAGCCTTTGACATGGATAGCCACCAACTTTTTATAGGTAAACTCGCATCTTATGGGGTTCAAAATCCTTTGCTTGCTTGGTTTGATTCCTTTCTCAAAAATTGACATCAAATAGTTAAAATTAACTCTTCATTGTCTAACGCTGTCCCTGTTAGAAGTGGTGTAATACAATGTAGTGTCTTAGGTCTTTTGCTCTTTTTAGTGTTTATCAATGATATTTGTGAAAGTTTTTGTGTCCGTAAGCCCCTTCTATACGCAGATGATCTTAAAGTAGTATATTCGTTTTCTCCACATGAGCTGAAAAATATGCAAAATTGCATAACAAGGTAGCACAGTGGTGCTTAAAATGGCAACTGGAGCTTAATACGGCTAAATGTGGATGGATATGCTTCGGCGATACATCACTTAACCTAGATATTACCATAAGTGGAGACGTGTTATCTAGGTTACATACAGTAGTAGACTTAGGACTTAGATACTCCCAAGACTTGTCGTTTACAGAACATATATTAAAACAGACCTCTAAGTCTCAACGTCTAATAGGTTACATAACTCGAAATCTTTACAACAATGAGTCACGTATTCTAATGTACAAAGTTTGTGCTCGACCTCTTCTAGAATATTGCACGTTTATTCTTAGCAGTACACACATAAAGGATAAATTAAGGCTGGAATCAGAACAGAGATGATTTACACTTCGTATTCTTGGAGCTGATTGTACCTTAACTTATAATTCTAGATGTAATAAACTTGGGCTAGACCCTTTACGGAGGAAGCGACTCAAACTAAATCTTATCTTTTTCTTCAAACTTTTTCATAAACTATCGTTTACATCCAATCACGCGATTCAATATGCAAAAACTTCTCATTATGACATCCGTAATTCCTTGTCACTAGTTAAACAAACTTATTTTAAATCACCTCTTTATATGAATTACTTCACCTGTAAATTTTCTAGACTCTGGACTAATCTACCACAATCTATCCATACGATAAAATCACTCCCATTATTTGTTCGCTGCATCGATGCTTACTGCTCCTATGAAAATGCATTGAATGGTCTAGCATCTGCAAGTGTATCTCATTCCACAAGTGATATTTTAGGAACTTTAAATGTTTAGTCATCTTTATTAGTGAATCTCCTAAGTAAAACCACCTACTTGCTGTCAATATGTTAACACTGTCCCCGGAAAGTTTAACTAATTTGAATAACATAAACAGTATATCACTGTGTCACATGACACACGCATTTAGGTAATTACTGCTTTGTTTTTCCGTGCTCTGTGTTTTCATTTTAATTTCTCTAGTTGTAGATAATTATCATTAATTCGACCTGGCACATGAATTGACCTTAATTACTCCGTTCATAAATCAACAGGCTGTCCATTTAGGAAATATTAAAAATTCCCGACTGATGCATTGGATCATTGTAATACATGTACTACCTAAACAATTACTGAACTTGTATACTTAAAACGTTCTTCTATCACATGTTTGTTCTGTACATCTAATGTTCCTCTTTATATCAAATTGATCATGACTGTAAACTGGCGTGAATTCTGTAATTATTATTTTCAGAATATAAATAAAATAAAATTAATTTAAATACAATTCACTGAAAAAGTTCATGTTTGTTCATTTGATAAACAGTCAAACTTTTTGACTCTAAAACATACAAACACTATTCAGTTTGTCAAACTGAATACGATGATGTACAGTTCTAATTCACAACCCAGTGGTTATTATTTGAATGGTTAAAAATCTCTAAGCCATTATTTCATCAATGAAAATTTTGAGGAAAACCTTATTGTTTATATGTGATTGATACATTTTACATTATGGGTGTAAAGAAAACCGGTAATTTTTCACATGATCATATAACTACAAGTGGAAAAATAAAAATGATTTAAAATAATTAAAAGTGATAACTTTCATAATGATTCATTTCTTTACTAAAAATTATTTTCAGAATGGGTTTTGTGGAGAGTTTAAGAAATTTCACAGGTTGAAATCATGAGTCAGTTGAAGCTAGACCATCATTGGAAACCTGGAAGCACTGGACGGCCGTATCGTCCTGATATGGGACTCCCCAGCAGTGCGCATCCACGATCCCGCACCACGCGAGGCTCGAACCCAGGACCTACTGCCTTCGCGCGCGAGCACTTAGCCAGCTTGCAAGCACCAACTTGGAATCTGGAAAGGAGATGGAAACGAGGGAGGTGAAATAACACACTGCGTTGAGAATTGTAAGCGGATATGAAAAGGATGATTGGCAAGTGGAGACAAGTGGAAAGAATTGCCCAGGATTTAGTTCAATGGGGAATGCTGGTGGGCGGTCTATGCTTCTCCACGAGGAGTAACAGGTGTAAGTAAGTAATTATGTAACTTATTACTATTAATTATTATTATTAATTACATTTGAATTTTAAAGCTAAAACAAATAAATCTGTACTAATAGTTCATGTGATTTATGCTTAATAATTACCAGTTTTTAAATAAAAATAATCCTTTTAATCATTGTTTTTCTTTCCCAAGAAATTAACTGATTGATTTTATCGGGAAAAATAAACGTTTTAATATATGATACTTTGAAAATAAAAATATTAAATATGAAATATGTAAAACTGTAGTTTCACATTTCTTGATTTTAAAATTAATTTATAGTGTTAAATGAAATCATAATTATTTAGGAAAATTGATTTGATAGAAGGAAAAGTCCAAATTTAACTGATTTATTCATTAGGAGTTTTGTTCAACATGACTTTCGTTTTCGTTTGAATGTGAGGATTATTCATTGTAGCATTTCGTTTTGTTTTTCAATGGGATATTTTATTCTGTATAACATACGACATTGTTGACAAGAATTATGCTCAGCATATGATTTGTTATAAATCTAATCTTCACTTATACCAGCCTTTGTATTCTTAATTTCGCATCGTGGGAATTGAAGAGGTCCCTCGTTTCAAGTATAAGTGATAAGCGATTCCGACATAACAATCAGCGACGACCAGATATAACAAGTAGCGTTCCAAACAGTCACTAAGGTATAAACATATCTATTTATCAAAAAAGATATTTATACCAAGAATTTAAATTGTTCAAATTTCTTCTATTAATTTATTTGTTCACTGTTCGACTGAATCACATTAATTAGTGTCCTTGATTCTCATAACTTTAATAGAAATAATATTTACTTGAGAACATTATGATAAATAGAGAACAAATATCATTATTCTCACTGTAGAAACCATTGTGACATTTGACAGAAATCAGCAATAAAGTAGATATTACGTAGTTTTCTTTTTCTCAAACACCTAATAAATGCTTTGGAATTCTTTCAAAAAAGTGGAAATACATAGAATCCCTTATTATTTATGTAAATCTGCTGTAAATTGATGTTGAATAATGTTTATTGAGATTTTTCTAGTCAAATTAATATGTCATTGAGCACATGTTTTCTGTAGTTCTCAGATACGTATTCATATATTACGATTTTTGCTATAAATCCACTCTTTTAACTTGGTATGTAAGACTTTGTAAAACTACTAAGCTGAAAGTTATGGTGTGAATACAATAAGCTTGTTTGTTTTCCACTATTCATCAGTGTTTTCATATTAAACGACCTTATTTTGATAAAATTAATTACATTTCAGAGAGGTCAATTCATACACACAGTAACCTTAAATCTTTTTATAAAACTAGATAAGTAGTGAATGAATGTTTTATCTGAAAAACACATCAGTTATTATAGTTTTAACATGATGAATTGTAAGAATTTACAAAAACCTTACCAATTAATTAATAAATTGATGTAATTTTGTGGCATAAATTTTGAAAAAGTAAAATAAACGCAATTGAAAATATCTATTGTATAAAATGAATTACCATATTTATCATTATAACAATAATTAATACAGTTTTAAATGCAGAAATATAGAAAAGGAATAAAGAAGAAGAAGAGGAAGAAAAAAAAAGGAAGATGAAGAAGGAGAAGGATGAAAAAACAAAAATCAATTCATGAATTAATAAATAAAGAACATACAATTTTCTTATAACACGGTAAACGAAACAGATAAGAAAATATAAATAAACAAATGTGTATATACAAACAAAGTATGGTAAATATAGTTGATGGGAAAAGCAAAACTGAAGTCGGAAAATGTACATGTGAATTTTCTCTTAATTTAAACTTACAAAAAGATTGCTTGCATACATTTTGGTATAACAAGTCATTAGAACATATATATATTAAGGGAAAAATGGTAATTCCAACTCTCCATTAGAAATATGAAAGGAAATTTATGTAAGGGAAAATCAAAAATGTAAAGACAGAGAATGTGAAATGAGAAGGGTAAAATTAAAGAAGTAAAAAGGGGAGCACAAAATATAGGGTGGTTACAAGGAGAGCGTGGAACAATGTGAGAGTAAGAGTTACTAAGCCTTTTGGAATAAATCAAATATTATCATTTTAATTATGCACTAATAATACTCATGATTACCATAATTAGTTATCTTAGCAGTTATAACAATATTGTTAGTAGAACAGTCAACAAAACAATAAAACTATTTACTTTATGAACTTGGTTACTAATATGTTAGTCATAACGAGAAAAAATTAAGTTGAATTTTTAAGTAGTAAATAATAATAATTAAAAAATAAGTTATTTTAATTCTGTTATTTGTTTTTTCTCACAGCAGCTCGAATGGGTAGACGAATAAATGTGTATAAAAGAAACATTTGTCCATAATTATGATAACGATTATCAGTTACCATGATCTGCATTCTACCTGCCATAATTATGATAAACTCTTTTCAATGATATAACAAAAACAATAGTTGTAAAAGTGGCAGCAGTAGTCTTGACTGTTTGTATATTTAAATAACTACCGTATTAAAAGAGGAAGAGTTGTAAGATATGGAGAGGTGAAATTGAAATGAGATAAATAAAATGTAAATAAATAATTTGAAGTGATCAAATCGATGAATAGCTTGTTAATCCAATCAGAATAATGTTAGTTAAAAAGTGTAACACTTGTCTTTCGCTCACTTCATCTCTTTGTATAGATATCAGTTAGAAACATAAAAATAATAAGATTTTGTGTACAAAATAACCAAACATTATGGAAATAATAATCAGAAAAAAAATTTATTGTTATTATTATTATTGAGATTATTGTAACAATATCATTATTGTAGTATATGCCGATAAGTTATCTGATTTATTAAAATAGATTATATATTACTGAATTATTGAATTCTTTTTTACAAGGAATATAAAAACATAAAGAAAGAGATAGATAAAGTGAGGAAGAATGAATTATTCTTTGTTTATTTCATTTCAAATTACATCGTCATTGCGATCTCGACAAACTAAACAAAAAGGAAAAAAAACGAGATCATTGAATTAATACTCAAGTATTAAATGATCAATTTAGAAAAAAAAAGGCAAATTGAAAAAAAAGAACCCACAAATGTCATACTGAACAAAACAATATACTATTCATTGTATTGTTTATTTGAATGTAGTCTGAAATCGTTAATTTATAATTCACTATAAACGAGTGGAAAATAAGTTTGATAGACATTTTTATTGAAATGTTGAATGTTTAGTCAACTGTAAATATATGTAACAATAAAAAAATGACAAATGTCAATTAATAGTTATATTACACGTGATGGTTAACAGTGAAACAAATTTTACCAGTCAGTTGTTAAGTTCCATTAGTAGTTTAAATTTTAATCATGTACTTGTAATTTCTTATGTAGTGCAGCGATATGTTGTGAAATGTTGCATCTTGACTATACTAATTGATTTTAGATCACAGTTTTGACAGATTTCTAACATCGTCGTTTTATTGACCAGCACGTCTATTCAGAAGAACTAGAAAAATGTTAATCAAACAAACACTTTTATCGATCTGAGAAATTCTAAGTTTTTGTGAACCTGTTCATATATCATTAGGGACTAGAAATTTAAGGTGTAAGGCTTTTCAGTTACACGTTTAATCCCAAGTAATATTGACTGTCATAACTCAATTCCTACAAGATTACTTCAAAACTCATCAATATACCTTGTATAATGTAGATCAAAAATTTGAAAGTATAACTTTTAACTTTATAGGTCACTCGCCTCAGGAGTAGTTTTTGAACAATACACTAGGACAAAGAGAAATGACTGAAAACAGTCAAACAAATCATGTAGGCTATTAAAAGGCATGCGGGTTTTCTGTATTAACGCCAACGTTTCATCATAAGTGGAAAAGTTTCCCAACTAAATGAAATGTTCTTATTTTTTATATTTCGAAGGTCAATATTTTATTTTTCTTTCTAAAAACTACGAAGTTTATCCTCCTTGCTTCCTTATCATTACTACTGGCTACAAAACTAGTTAAGTTTCTCCTATTTTATACAATTTGAAAAGCAGTATATTTATTAAACTGAAACTTTAGTTGTAATTCATAATAATCAACACTCTAATCTCGTATATTTAAGTAGAATTTGAGAAAACAGATGTTGTTACAAATTGATACCAGCTGCTGAAGTATTGGAAACTAGGCACCATTGAATATATTGTACGTCCCAGTTAATGACTCATTATTGAACATACGATAAAGACTTTGTTCGATCAGGATTAAATTTGAAAAATATTCAAATCTGATGGTTACCCAGTTTTCAAAACTTAAGTCATTTCAGCAGATAATACGCCTACTTTTAAGACTACTTTAGATCACACGTTATAGATAAACACTTTATTAAACTGCAATAACAAACATATCATATAAAGCACTTGTATATCATAACAGTATTTTATTTTCGTTATTTGATTCGCTCATTTTTTGAAGATAGTCTATTGAAATTCTGTGATTTCAAAAACTCAATATATGGTGATTAGATCTTCGTGTAATGTACTTGTTTCATTGTACATCGAGGTGTATATTGTTGAATAACTTGTATCCCTAAACGTAAATTTATTTATGATAATTCTGAGGTTAATTATCAAAACAATGAATACAATAAATAAAACAAAAACAAAAACAGGGAAATCTAAAAGCCTACTTGTTCCAAGGGTAGAACAGCTCGTCCACCATGATCAAAATTCTTAAAAATTGCTATAACCACATAATACAGATTAAAAAAAAAGAAAGAAAAATAAATAAATAAAAATATTTAACAAAACATAAAACTTTTAAAAATCAACTACATAAAAATTATTTTCGTAAAAATATTATCGATTGAAATTAAAATGAATCATTAGAGACACTTCTCAGTGACAATAATTTTATCCATATGTAATAGAATCATTAGTAAAATTAATCTTGACTAAAAACTTTATTGTTTAGAGTAATTTATCATGATAAGAAAAAAATGATTATGAAGAGAATTATCTACATTATTTCTTTTAATAGTTAAACTGTTACTTAGATTGTGATAAGGGAATTTATTTTAAATTTGGAAGAAAAAAAAATAGAAACTATAATCTTGTAACAAAAATCTATTTTGTCTTATTGCATAATTTTTCAATCGAAAGTATTTTTTTAAAAATAGATTATAAAGATATAGATCAGAAAGTATGTGTCTGACATTATCAACTTGTAATCACTTGTAATGAAATGATTTATATAATCGTCATTGACTTCAAGTAATTAAATGATGAAACAATAACAACTTATACGTTAATATTACACAACTATCAAATTATTTTTTACATGTATTCGATCATTACTATTTCATCATTGATCATAAATTAGTTAAACAAACAGTATTGGTAAACATTATACAAATAATATAACTGAAGACTATTTTTATGAACTTCGATTTAGTTATTCAGTTAACTAAATGTTTATGTACAAGTAAACTTGTTGTGAGTATCAAATCTACCGTAGTGTTTTATTATTTCTGAGGAAAAAATGTTTACGAGTCACTTTTTATTTCAACTCCAGTTTATTTTTTTTATCTTCTAAAATGAATGAAATATTTGTGTAAATCCGATTTCTTAACGGATAAGTGAAGAGGTGGGTTAGTATTCATAATAATAATAATAATAATAATAATAATAATAATAATAACGGTAGCACTTACCAACTGCTTTTGTTATAAGTGACATAGCGCTGATAAAATGAGGATAATCAAGACGCCAATCCACATTAACAAATCGGTTCACAAGTTTAGAAAATAGTGTGTGTGGAAGAGTATAACCTAGTTGAGAGAACAAGCAACAATGTAACAAATAATCGATATTTGCTATATCACTCAAAGTAATAAAATGCTTTTCAAATACACTGTTAAGTGTGAAGGATACGTCACTCTTGACAAGAAGTGGTAGGTAAAATAGCTGGCTGAAAAAAAAACAGTCAGGCCAAGATAAGACATAAGTCAATGGACTTGTTGGTTGTTGTTCAGAACCGTGTATGGCGAATCTGACTTTACGATGGCAGTTAATGCAGGTACTGGAAATTATAGTTGAAGACATTACATGACAATTTTTAATACTATAATAATCGGTTTTGTGTGCCTGTAATGACTTGCATCGAATAATAGAAATATATAAACTGTTTACAGAAAACCAGATAAAATAAATGACTTAGTGATATCAGCAAGTGGAAAATTTATACTGTCTTGACATTTTTTAGTTTGTCAATGATACAAATAGACTTCACGACACTTTCAGAAATAAAATTGTGAAGTAATTAATAATGAACTGTTGTCAGGCCATAAAATTTTCCACTAAGGAATATGAGCATTTAGGTAACACTAAAGTCGTTTATCCGAATTTTCTAAATGAAAACAATGAGAACTTACAAAATCAGTTAACTAAAATGACTTATCTGTACAAACTGTTGACAATTATTAAACTAAATAATAATAAATTTTCTTAAATGAACATACTCTAAGTTGTACAGATGACTCAAGTACTATTTGTCTCTTCATGAATTACTATCCGTATTATTACTAAGAATTGTACTGAAAAATATTAAAATCGTATAAAAAGCGTAATTTACCCGCTTGTTCGACAATAATTCGAAAGTCCAAACTCGTTACATGAGCAGTTCTCTGTGGATCAAAACTTGCAAACAGACGAGACCATGATCGTAGAATATCCCAGACTCGTCGAAAATCTGATTCACACAAACGTCCTGTCCCATCACGATCGAGAAGGGCTACCAGAGATCGACAAGCATCTGTACTAACCTGATTAAATTTTTAACAAAATTTTAATGAGTTATTGTACAAGAACGCTTATATAAATACTGATTAAGTTCTGTAAACATTTCAAATCATGCACTATAAATAATGATAATCTTATTAAAATAGCAAATGAGTTTAACCCAACAATTAAAAATTGATAGGTAGACTTTTTAAACGTTTGAACAAAAATTAGTATCAACAAATTACACGCGTTTTCTATCTTCCATGTAAAACAACAGAATAATGCCGAACGAATGGTTTTATTACTCTCAATTAATGCCGATATCTAATGATGTTTAGGGTAACCTAAAACACTAAGTCTAGAATCTCAAATAAACAGAATCATCGAGTACCTTGTATTTTAAAATTACCACCGGTTATTCTCAGTGTTAAGTTGTTGTCAATTGAATTTATATACATCTGAATTGCTAACAATTAAGAGATTCTTCTAATACAAAGTGGGATCTATGTGAATTAGAAAAACCGGATGGCTAACGCACAACACTTAAACGATGGTACTTCTACCACTGAATGACAGAAAAAAACATTGGAATAATGTAATATATAAGCCTTGAAAATAGAAAATCATATCAACAGTTAAGTGCCTTTCCTGATTTAAACGTGAACAGTCTTCGCATTTCTCAAAGTCAAAGAGGATACAAAATCTTCACACTGGTAAAGGAAGCACGATTAACTGATTTATCGGTAATATAGAAAACTCTGTCAATTACAATCAAAATGAAACTTATAATCAAAACGTTCAACAGTAATTTTCAAATCAGTACTACTTAATTGGGAATTTTCTAAGTCATATGGACATTTGAAATGGAAGTCTATTACATACCATACTGTATGGTGCCCGATGATCATCTCGCAAAAGGCAATTAAGTATTGGTTCCAACTGAAATGCATCAACAGCCATCGATTCACCTGAAGCTTCATAAAATAATCGTCTAAGACGTGGCTGAAATAATTCATAGTTTGGATCAAGCTCTGGTCCAGTTGCAGCTAAACCACTAAGTTCTACGCGTTCTAAAGTAGATCTGAAAACAATTAAAAAATTCGATGTTTTATGCTAGAAGATAATTTAGTATATTAGATAATATGTTAGATTTCAATGTTAACACGTTATCAATCATCATAGGTAATAGCTAGTGAATATAAGTGGTGGCCTTTGACAATAAATATAAAACCCTACTGTTTTTCGAACTCTATCATTAAAATGCATAATATAATTATTAAGATAAGTAAATTAAAATTATATTGCATTATGATTTCTGTCTAACAACCGCAAACGGTTATTAGAAATTAAATTCCTTTAATGAATTTATTATAATGTTGTATTCATTTTAGGTTACTGAAATGGCTTACGTGGTTTCGCTAATAGTTTTGCCGATAAATTAACTCTCGTGAATATATATAAGCGACCTGCTTAAATATCTGGACTACATGTTCCTGCCATCTAGATATTTCAACAAGTTATCTGCCTTTTGTTTATTTCAATAGATCATTGTGTCAATTATTTGCGTACCCAATTAAGTTAGAAAACAGAACAATCAGAGACATTATGGTTGCTGGCAACATACAATGAAATGAAAGTACATTATTTAGATGTCGATTCCTGAACTGCTAACATCTAACTGGCGATTACTCAATATTTATCGTCAGGATCAATTAAGAAATAAGGAAAGGAAACTTGATGAAATACTTTGCGCTGAGAACTCTGTATTGTACTAAAAATATAATACTGAATCAAGCTAATAATAATATACATTTTCCGACTATATATGTTCAAAGCTATTAGTTAATTATCAGAGCTCAAAGATTAAGGAAATAATTACTTCTGTCAATTACAGATTAATGTTCCATTTAGTATTTGACTTAAAAGTAACTGGCTTCTTAAAAATCACATGGAGAAAATTTTTGTTATACACAAAGAGCTACTTACTCGCAAATTCTATCCGGATTGTCAAATAATAAACGTAATAAAAATTCACCTGGTTGATCTGCTGCATATGTACATGGAACAAGAAGATAATGACCTGGTGTTAATTTTAACCGTTTAACAACTTCTCTAGAATCGAAGAAAAAATCCACACTAGCTATATGATGATTAGTTTCAAAAAATCCACGTGGCATTGGTGGATTAGCACCAGCTGGAAGCTGATTATTATTGTAACAACAGAAAATAAAAATAAAAACGATATAAATAACAATCATTGAAGAGATTTATTTAATCTATTTTGTAATTAAAGCGTATACAATGACATTTAAGTATCATGTTCATGTTCATGTAAACTACAACATAATACTTAGATAAAAATCAAGATCTATCATATCATTATGAAATTTATTGCATCATACACTTTCCCATAAAGTATTGACTAGCAGCCAGTGAGTTTGTGGATTGAATTTTAATTTGTTAGCAGTCTCTTATCAAATCAATCGCTACTTAAGTTGATATAAATATTCGTTTGGTTTGGCGTGAAAAATACTCGACTTCTTCAAGCCATTACTTCGTCAACTGATTGCATATAAACTTCCATTTTATCAAACCAAATAAATAGGTAAGATTTTAAAGTTTGCAAATATTGAACGTACAATAGCTACAGCAGTACGCAAACGTCACAAAATGATGGTACAGTTAATCAGCAATGGCATCATCCATCTGATAGAATAAGAAACTAATTATCTTCATTATTTCACTCTTAACTAACCAGTGTACAGAAAATTTGAAAGATTATCTTTTCGATGACAAATACGAGGACAATGTGTAGTATCATTTACTTTGCTATAACACCATAAAGAATTATCTAATGCAAAACAAACCAAGATTGTGTACTTTACATGAATTTAGTTGATTTTTGGATATAAGATTAAAATATATAATATTAGTTAAACAATTGAATTTAGTGCATAAATATGAATTAATCATGATTCTATGTATGAACATTTTATAAATAATAAAATTATCAATTGAAATGAAATTATTAATTAGTTGGCGGAAATAGAATTTCTACAAAATTCTCGAAATAAACAAAGGATTGTTTCTGTACATTATTTTCTAAACAATGAAACAAATAAAGTAGTTTTGTACTATTGAATTTACTGGTAAACTTGTTATCTTACACGTTTTAGTATCTAATTCAGTTTTCTTAAAAATTGTGTTACAAGAAAATAAATTTCTGAGGTTGAATAACTTCAATACTGAGTCTCCAGGAAATATAGTAGCTTTCATTGCAGAAATATTATAACTTTTAATAACATTATATATATATATAATACCAAACTTATTAGATGAAAATACATATACATTATAAAGATTTCATATGCTCAAATCTAACAGGAAAAAGGCGTTACTAGATTTCTACAATATAGAGGTCATATAAATAAATTACTTTATTTTTAACGGAAGCAAGGTAATTTCTATGTTAGCTGATGAAGATTATATAAATAAATATATACAACATAAGGGTAGAGTTCATGTGAAAAAATTGCTTTATAGCAAACATACATAAAGGGAACATTGGTACTAATGGGGTAATTTTGATGTCAATTCAATAATAATTGTCTTATATTTTTATTATCTGTAGTCACATACGAACTCATATTGAAATCAAATCATTAATTGATCCCAATTGTATTTTGCCGCGGTTGAATACAAAAATTAAAAATCACGGCTTAGTGACTATAGAAACGAACTGAAACATTTCTCAATAAAGCGATTTAATCACAAAAGGTGGTAATAATCTTGTTTCTTTTGTCAATTTACTCAAAATAGTTTGATACTTAGAATAAATGACAGAATGGATATGATACTTTTTTATGCTATGCCCGTACTAGAAATGTGAAACAAATTACAGGTACTGAAAGATTGAACAGACACCAAGTTTCGAGATCAACAGTTCAGATTCCTTGAGGATAAAATTGTGACATTACAAATCACTATGCATCAACTTCCTTGACTATGAGAAGGAGTTTTACAGTGAGGGTAGAAGAAACTCATGCAACCTTCTTCAACGCTATAGAGTGAGTAGCTGAGAAAATCGCCAACATCATCCGAAATTCATACGACGGACTACATTACAAAGTGGTGTATGGAGGATAGCTGACGGATGCATTCCAAGTGAAGATCGGAGTCAGACACGTTCTCTTACTCTCTTCCTTTCTCTTTCGGTAGTTGACTGGATTATGAACTTCGCATCCGAGAGGAAGCACGGAATAAAATGGACGGCTTACATGCAACTAAACGACTTGAACTTTACAGTTGACCTGACCCTTCAGTCTCATACACACTAGCAAATGCAGATGAAGACAGTCAGTGTAGCAGCAGTCTCTGCATCAATAGGCCTCAACATACACAAGGGAAAAAGCAACATTCTCAAATACGACAACGAGAACACTAATCCAATCACAATTGATGAAGAAAATCTGGAACAGGTGGAAACATTCACATACCAGGTCAGCATAATTGATGAAAGTGGAAGATCTAATAGAAACGTGCAGATAGTTACTGGCTTATGCAACAGGTATGGTGTTTATACAATTACTTATAGAAATCATAAAAAGAACTAATATGCGATCAATCACATAACAAATAACTTTAAGTGTTATATAAGATCAAGAATAAAATTATACGTATAACGGTAACAATATGTCTTCTGACAGAAATTGAGGAATTTTCAGAAAAAAGAGCTGGCATAACCTTGTAGTCAACTAATTTTTATGCGACTACTATCCAGTTTTTCTGTAATTGAATATCTAGTGGTTTTGTCGAATCACAACTGTTCACATTCTATATAATAAGATTAATTAATGACTAGTGAAGTTGAAGCAAAACATAACTTATCCACGCAAGAACGAAATGTTTACAATACTGGTTAAAATCTTTTTTTTAATTCTATGATTAAAGTTCTTACATTTGATTGCCAAGATTCCACTAATGACACAAAATTTTTGGTCGTTAAAATGATGTTTACTTTTTCTTTTTTAATCAAGTTCTCTTTGAAGGTTTTATCAATTTTTTCGTTTTACAATATACATTACAGACAATAGAATATCGATAGCTTTTACGATAATGTCAAGAACGAATGAAATGTTCTCAGTTCCTGCATATATTGATGTTACCCAAGACTCATATAACTCATGAAGTTGTTGGCAGTCGACATCTAAGTCAAGAGCACATTACCGAAATTCTACTATCACATATCACATCTAATTTTCATAATATTTAGTTAATCCAATAATGTTTCGCTCCAGAAATTTTTAAAATGATAAATTCTTCTGTTTTATTAAATTACATAATTATTGGGAACAAAAAGGAGTAAGTTAATAACCTAATTTAATCAGTACTTTCATGTAATGCTGTTGAAACTTGTCTGAATGGATATTTATCTAATTGACAAATGAATCTGAATATAAGTAAACAAACAATATCATTAGAGAAAAACTTGTTAGTAATGCACTAAAAGTGCATTTGATATCAGAACTTTACCATAATTTGATTAGAAAAATAATTAGCTCAAAATAGAATTGATTATCCCACAGTATCATAACACGATTATTTATATATTTAGAATTTTTAGTCTTTCTTGTAAACGAATGTTACTGCGTGAATTATTTTAAAACAAATTAGACTTAATTCATTGTCTACTTCATTTATTTATCATTCAACTGTTAAGTTCGAATTATTTTATTATGAACCCAGTATATATGAATGTGCAAGATAAACTTTTCAAATCCCTTTAATGTTACAAAATAGTTGATAATAATCAACATATGCTCACTAGTGACTGGCTTCAATATGTAAATCCTGGAGTTCTAGTGATAAGCAGTGACCAGTGGAGTTCAACCGGGTTAGTTGTGAAATACTAATTCACTGATGACAATGGTGGATGTGTCGCTCAGTTTTGTGGATTAATTAGAGTTAGACATTGATGTTATTAATTATTGATTGTGGATCTAAGGAGATACAGCATAAAATACCTACTTCTTAGCAAGTGTAATCACCATGTATTTTGATTTGAATCTTATCTGCTTTAGTATTTCATTCCCAAGCAATCAATTTCTACTTTAATAATTCTTCAAGATCATTTTAAGTCCATTTGGTTAAAAAAAAATCAGTGAATTCATAAAATCTTAGATTATTAGCCGTATTTACTATCGGTTTTCTTAATCTATTGACCAAGCGCTTATCTGTGTGGCATTACGGAACACTAATAATAATAATAATAATAATAATAATAATAATAATAATAATAATAATAATATTTTCATGTTTATGGTGATTTTCTAAATAGACTATTTACTTATAACAAAGATTAAGTAATTACTATTTACTTTATTTATTGTAAAGAATTAAATAAATATATGTTCGCAAATGCAACATGAATAGCGGAAACTACGCAAGTACATCATTGGTTGACAAGAGAAATTAGATGCATAAATCTATGCACACATTGATAAACTCGTAAATCTGTGTATTGTGAGAAAAGAAACAATAAAGTAAGCTTCACAATCTTCAAGCTGATGAAAAACAACACAAACTGTGATTGTATATATAATAAGTTATTTATGAAGAAGATAATTTATTATTATGGGTTTAATTATTTGCGTTGTCGGTGTTAAGAACTGTAAGGGATTAGTCTCCTTTGGCAATATGAGCATCCTGAGAGGATTGCCTCGACATTGCCACCAGTCGTAAATATTTTTTTAAGTTGAGTTGGAGTGCAGTTTAAAACACTGAAGACAAAAATCATTTGTTTTTAACATATGACATTAATACTTTTAACGTGATGATAGTCCAGAGGGCCAGTATATGCAAACAAAATCTTTTTTTCACAAGAAGCACTTATATATATTAGGAAACATCTGCTAATAAACACACTCAAGAAATAAAAGTGGAGTATTTTCAGTCTAGAATGGTTAACCTTTCAAGCAGATAACTAAATCTATAAGTTTGTTTATTCAACATTGGTGATACTAAAGTTCGTCAAAAAATGCTATAAGAATATCTCAAATGTCAGGTTGTATAGATACATAACTTGATGTTTGGAAAGATGAACATAGGTTATATTTCACCCCAAGCAAAATTACATTAGTAATCGAAAAATATATACAGCGTACCCGATATAAAACAAATCCAATAGATGCGAGTCGAGGAGCACGATGACGTAGACGACGACGATCAGCTTGCATTAAAGCAATTACGGTTGTAGCGAACCCATCAGGATCATTTGGATCAGGTGAATTAATTACCAGTCGAAACTGAGGATTTGCCCAGTGACTTGCACGGATGTATGGTCGACCTCCACATGACACACCTCGAAGCCATCGCCCACGTAAGTGAACTGATGGGAAATTATGTAAGGAATGATAAGCACTAGAAGATTTAGAAGTTACTGGAGGTGGCTCTGTTAGATGACAAATATCCAAATAGTCAAAATTGGCAATAAAATCTTCAAGGGACATCCTGGAAAGTTGAAATGTACCGACACAAACAGACGGATAGTTATAAATTCAACACGAATAAAATTAAACTTATACGGTGGATAAACACTATAAATTTTGGTCCGCTTTAAGAAAATTTGTTTGGTGTAAAGGTAAATCTCACTGAAAAATAAATTAGTTTGGTTAAAATCTGAAAGTGACTAACAATCCTTTCACATTCACGAAACCTGAGTTATATTTTCACTACCAGGAGTAGTTGGTTAACGTTCGCTAACGATTTCAATAAAGCCAAGGAAATTATACACATATAATGCTAAAATATACCTTAAATCTAACTTGTAAAGTATTAAAATCGATTAAATTAAATTATGCACCTGAATACGCTAAGAAAGTCATATTTACGAAGTATATTGATATATATAATATTTATCCGTTTTCAAAACTGAAAAAAAAGTAAATTATAAATTGCCGTTGGAATTAGTATGTAAAGTGTCATCGAAACAATGTAATAACAGGTTTTATTTTGCACTTTAACATATGCAGATTAATCCAATTCAAAAAAGAAAGCCAATCAAAAACAAATTATCACAAATTTATTACCAAAACTCTTCTTGAGCTTTCACTAAGCCAACTTTTAAACGGTCTTGTGGTGGAAGACTAAGCCATTCTGTTGAACCCTCTGACCATGCACCTGTCCAGTCCACACGAACTGAAGGCCATAAATTTCTTAAGCGAACTAAACGGAGTAAACGACTTCCTGATGCATCCGTCAATCGAAGCTTTCGACAATCTGTTAAACCAAATGCTTGACCAGGTACAAATCCTACCGGTATGACAAAACCTGGACCAGGTACTCCTTTAGTCTGATTTCAATTAAAATAAGTTGATAAACAAGGCAAATACTTAATTAATGAAAAAAAACGCCAGTGGAAATTTTTAAAAAATCATTACACAACAAGCAAAATTATCTTCGATATAAAGGTCTTATTGATAAGAAAACTTATGGAGATAAGCTGTATATAATAGCAACCCAATATGCACCCAGGACATTAACAGTTCATCAGATTTACAGTTATATCATGAACTGACATGATAGGTTGATTCAAGACCTATTATGAGCATTACAGACATTGTAATCTTATTTGTTATGTTGTATGTATCCACGTACAGTCAATTCTGACCTTTCATACATATAACCATGCTATGTGTGTTTATCTATGTCCGTTTGTCTATATTATCTTTGTCTATTTGAGCCATATAGACTGGCACAAAATTAAATAAACGATTTGACGCCAGTTATATCCAGATCCTTGCATGGTTGACGGTTATTATTTGGATGCATGAAATATATTCTTCTACCCATATTTATAATTTAACTTGCAAATAGCACACATGCATAATATGGCTAGCCGGACTTATTATATACGAAACTGAAAATAGAGTATATTTTATCTTCATCAATTGGAGACAGAAAATATGCAAAGGGGTTGTACAGTGAAATATATCCGATCGGTCTTCAGGTTTTTTGAAACTTCAAACCAATAAACAGGTAGTAACTCGCATTTGTGTACACAGTTGTGAAAATCCAATACTGGACGCAGTTATTGTTCATCAGTCGCTAGCTCTTCAGATGGTATACATTCGTAGTGAAACTGTCTTAGGAAAACTAAAGTAACTATGATTTGGTTTTTGTGAAATGTAATTAACAGTAAAGCAACATGACATTAACCATTAGCACAACTAACAGTTGACGATTTAAAGTAAAAATAGTAGAACAAAATTAAAAAACAAATAATTATGTTTCTTCTATTCACAGTAGTTAGGGAAATATTCAATAAAATATAGTAAAACTTTATGAGTCAATTGAAGCTAGACCACCATGGAAAACCTAGAAGCACTGGACGGCCGTTTCGTCTTGGTATGGGGCTCCAGCAGTGCGCATCCACGACCCCGCACCTCTCGGGGTCCGAACCCAGGACCTACTGGTTTTGCGTGCGAGTACTTAACCACTAGACCACTGAGCCGGTGTCTAGCGGTGTTAATATCTAACTTCAACCAATCCATGAAGTCGAGCCACCGTACACCATTGTCTTCAGTGAGTTCCTACCTCACAACAGAACTCCACTGGTAACAACTTCTCACTAGAACTCCAGGAGTATCTCCTGAAGTCAGTCACTAGTGAGCAGGTGATTATTATTATCAGAATAGGTTTTGTGGAGATTGACTCGTGATTTTAACTTGTGAAATTTCTTAAAATCTCCACAAAACCTTTTCTGATAATAGTAAAACTTTAGTCAGATATTTATAAAGAATTGTTTGTTTTTAAATAGTTTCACTAAAATAAGATGGGAAATTATTAAAAGTTCTTAGAAAAGAAAGAACTTGTAACAATACTAAATGCTAAACGCCAAAGAGATGATTTCTAGACCGATGAATATCGTTTCATACAACGAACACAATATCGTATTCATCCATAGGGTTCGAATAAGTTAGTTCATAGTTTACTATTTGAATCGATTCAAATAGTTAATAAAGCTAATCGATGTCCGATTTTGTCGATTAAACAGATTACATCTCTTCACTTACTCTCTTTCAAAATAAATCACTGAATGTTACCAGAGCATTATTTAGTAAGATAGTTGTAAATGCTTGCATAATCTGAATAAAAATGTTGATAACATACGATCTAAGATTATTTTATTTTCAATGGCTCTTTAACTAAGGAAGGTTTAAGATAAATACTAACTCAAAAACTCCCTTTATTATTGTTTATACAACTGTTTCGCTAAAGATGTACACTAGGTTCAGTCGAGCACTTTTCTGTAATATTAGATAACGAATTATTAGATGTATGGCTGTGATCAAATTCATACTGAAAGATTTAACGAGATGATCGTTTTGCAATTTCATATTGAATCAAGTGGAAAATATCCCATATTAAGTGGTTCATTTAATCAGACTCACAACTGTGATTAACATTTGTTTATTTAAACAACTAACACCTTAGACGTTTCTCGGTTGACGATAAACATAAAATTCAAAAGCTTTTATTTACTAGTCTTGTCATCGTTTTTATCATCAATATTTAAGAGCATTAATTGCTTGTTCCCAACGGTCGGTTACCCAGTAATAACATATACCACGATGCTTGACATTTAGTATTCATCGGATGTTATTGACGTTTACTATAGAGTAATACTTAGTTAAATGAATTGATGTTTTAGTGTTAAGTAGTTATAAGCCAACGATTGAAAATTCTAGGTCTAGTTTTCTTATTGTTTAACACTAGTCAGCTATACAGAATTTTAAAAATGACGAACTCTATGCACCACAGAGATTAGAATTCTTATCATTTGTTAATGCAATTAGAGATGTTACGACTGTGCATTTTGGACTAATTAACGTATTCCACTCACATCTACGTTCAGCATACTTTATTAGGTTCAATGTATTGTTTATCTAAATATTTAAAAATAAGTTACTATTTTTGCTTAATTGAAATTAAATCTTTATTGTGAAATCATTATAAACAAAAGTTTGTTGTTGCAAAATGTAGTTTTTCAAAGTGAAAATTTTTGATTTAAATTCATTTCAAATTTTATTGAATATACATTTACAATAATCGATTCACTAGCTAGAATACAACTGCACCCTATATTTCTCTCTACGTATTAATTTCTTTTGTTGACAGAGCCTAAAATATATGTGTGTTATAACCGATCATGTTTTTGTAGCCGAGTTAGTCGAGTATTACTCAGCAAAAATGTTATCCTGTGTTAAAATAAAACATGAACTAATGTAGGTGTTTTCACATCATCGGGTGAAATATTTCTGAAAATCAACTTATTATAATCAATATTTCTACAGCCAATCAAAGATTACAAACCGAAATCAAATCTATGAGATCACTAGAGATTTACTAAAACAACACAAAACCTACGGCTAATTGACGAAAGTGAGTAAATCAATCTTAGCGTCCATAACCCACTACGTGGTTATCTAACGAAATGCTGAAGTTTTAACTACAAGAAAACAAGAAAATTAACATACCTTTATGCGAGCTGTAATCAAACTTCGACGATCGAACGATTTTATTAATATATCATCTAAGTCGGATGGAGGTTGAAGTCCATGGTCTTCTGCCCCTGGAAGTGTATATGATTCTGTTAAACCACCAGTCAGATCATCCATTGCATCTCCGACAAGTCCAATATTCAAAGCCTCATATGACCCATTTAATCTGAGATTGTTTGAAATTTTTCCAAAATTAATTTCGACGATAAAAAATGACGTCAACTGAAAATTAATCAGCTAAGTTGAATAAAACAACTCAAGATTTAAAACGAGCCACTGAAACTAGATATTTAAACATTACACGGCTCTAGTTCTATTGTTTCCCTGCTTGTTAGAAGCGTTAGCCTTATGGCTTTCAGAGATTCACGACTTTCGCCACGATGCATAATAACTCTTCACTATGAATGCCCCTCTCCCTCCACATCTAACCAGTTCCCTATAGTTAACGTCCTTATATTGGGGACCCATCTTACGGGTTGAGATTGTTAAACCTTCCCAAAACCCTCCTCTTCTACCTGGGAACGGGACCGGCAGTAACCCTATAGAAGCTCCAGGCAGAGTCACTGACAAATAGACAAATGTTTAAGTTGAGATTTTATGAATAATTATTGACTAAAGTTTCAAGATGTACATGTTACGACATAATTGAACCCAGTATATGCATTCAAAACAAACACTACTTAAGCAGTAATAATTCGTAATCGAAAACCCCCACTGATATGACTTTCAATATGATCTATTTTTTGAATTCAGGTTATTTAATATGCTGTTATTCACCATGTTGATTTTCTTAGTTTAATAAGCGACAAAATGATTAAAGTAAAACAAAAATTGTTCCAAAATCTCAAAATTCACTTTAATTCTTGAATTAGTGTACGAGGATTGAAACTGAAAAACTCAAATCTCGCTAAATAATACTATATTTAAGAACCATAAATACAAATTCTACCAACAATCGTATGTTATCTATTTCCACGTATATTTTCAACCACTCTGTAATATAGCATCATCAACTAGAATAGAAAAGTAACTAGAAAGTACTTGTTAGTAACTTTATTATTTCGAAAGTAATACCTTGTATTACTTTAAAATAACTCTCTTCGTCACAAACTGTAGGAATTAGGTTTTCGCAAGAATTATAAATAAACAACTCCATTAACCTAGCACTTTGCGTCTGTGATCATGAGGCACCTTAGCATTTCATAATAGTATATAAATAGTTCTAAATGAAGCAGTGAATAATCAAATTTATCAGAATTTTGTAATGATATTCAAAAATACTCATACAATGAATGAATTACTGAACAGAAATATTTAACTAACTTTGCGTAAGCTTTCTCCAATAATGTTGGCCAAAATTCTGTTAAACGTCCAGAATGTACAAACAATGGTTGACCACCAGATTTAACTGGAAGACGATCATCAATATAAACTTCTTCCCAACGCCCAAAACGCCAGAATCGAAAGGCAAATATGCCAGCATACCATTCTACTCGAAACGACTGTCCAGTAGGTATAGTACGACTAAGAAGACTCGGTTGGCTGGCTATAGCAGCCAGTGCAGCAACTACCCAACAATCTCCTACAAATTTAAAACAAAAGCTGATTGATATCATTAACTGTATGACTCATTAAGGGAAACAGACTAAACAGCCAGCTATAAGTATAGGTATATGCTGTTTATCAAAAAAATATACTGACACAGACAAATATCTAGAAAAAGGGATGTTTTTAATTACACTGAGTGCTTGAAGTGAAAATGAGGACTTAGAACAAAATCCATTATATTTGTAAAACAGAATTTCTATTTAGTATTAGACATAGTGAAATATTTATCAGAAGCGTAGGAAACGTTCAGCTACTAACATATTCAGAGTCACGGGGGTTATTTGATGATTATATACATGTTCAAGACCCTCGTATTGCTTACATAGTTTCCTGTGAATTAGCTCATGAACGTTATCGCCAATAAACTTTCTCCATGATTTGCTGTGTTCATTGATACTTATAGAATGATTAAAGTTATTCGCACACTCTTATTTGGTAACGATCAATAACTTTAAAGTTTGTTTGCGAAACGAAGTCTAATTTAAATCAAAAATAAAAATCAAATCTAAAGTTAATTATAGTATAACTATTACCTCTAATCAACTGTTGATATTTGGTTGCTGCTAATTATTTGACTCCTTACAGTAATAAACACACTTTTGTGATTACTACTGTCATGCAATCGTTGCTAATCCTACTGGAATTTTTTTCGTATTTTACTGAATAAATTTTTATTACTTTAAAAGTATTTTCTGGTATTTAGATAATCATTCGTAATTTCATCCGCATACAAATCCTTTTCCATACGGAAGGTGTACTTGAATATCTGGGCTATCTGTTCCTGCCATCTAGATATTTCAACAAGCCATATGCTTCCTTGTTTTTTAACAGATCATTATGTCGAATAATTGAATAACCTATTCGTATGTGTTTGTGAAAAGTTTACGACATTTCGCTGTAAGTAACAACAATTTACAATCGGAAACATTGTGATGGCTGGCGATGTGCATTGAAAAGAAAGAGTATTATTCCGATGTCGACTTCTAAAATACTAATATCCAACTGGCGATCACTCAATGTTTAACGCCAATATCAATCAAGAAATAAGAAACGGAAACTCGCTGAAATACTTCGTGCTGAAGATTCTATATTGTACCAAAAACATAATATTGAATAAAGCTAATAACAATGACTAATGTAATATTAAATATCGTGTACTTCTATATTAAGTATTTGAAAACTAATAATTCTACAAGTAGATGACTAACCTAATTCTCCCTGTCTCAGTTCGCCGAGTTTGATTCCACCTTCACCAATGAATTCTGGTGTTGATATCTTTCTTGGGGTTATACCCATGGAACCACCTCCGCTGTTCGCAGCAACTATTTCACTTGGACGCATCCAGACAATTTGACATGGTGGTCTTTGACTGTAATAAAGACTTGAGTCATCAGCCGGAAAAGAAGAATCGCAAAACAAATGGCCTGATTGGAGAAGATCTTGACGAATTTTTTCAAATGAACTCGAAGGTCCACCGACTGGGCTAAAAACTGTACTTGGTCTGTTAACCATAGGGCTAGGACTCGCTCCTATATCAATTATACGAGGAAATATTGAGCGATATCTTACACATAATCGAGTAAAAATTAATCATACAAAAAATGTTAACTAATTCTTAAGTAACGACATTCAAATCAGTATCTGGTAAAAAGTGGTGGAAGATTTAAAATATTTAAGTATGAAAGTCATAATCTTTTCTGCTTCCCTCATATTCCAAAAATATGCTCAAACTAAGTTTAATTCATGGAGTTTATGAAATTATAAAGTAGAATTTTTAATAAAAACAGATTATCATTTATTGTTCTTACAGTTAGAGTATTGAATGGAATGAATTAAGGCAATTACACAGTTCGTCAACGAAACGGTAACACTCATCACATGCTACACCAGAAAACTATCATAAATTCTCAAGGTGAACTGCTCACACTTATTATTGTGATATTTTAGCTTTTTTAGTTACATTTATAAAGTTATACAATACGTTTAAACAAAATGTGACAGTGAAGTTATATTAGCTCATGACCTCAAGACTTGTAAAACAGATTACGAACTTTATCTAGTAGTCTATAATCGTCTAAAAATCAGTGATGGCGGTGCAACTAAATTATCTTATTATGAATCGCATTTACAACCATAGTTGATACTAAAAACGTATCTGATTAAAGTATATTCCATGTCTAAATAAATCAACTGCATACTAACATTTTTCAACCAGAGTAACATATTTGGCGTATATATAGAACTTTTGGAAAATTAATTCTGAAATGTTTCATTTATAATGATATATTTGAAACATAGGACCGACTGACGGTTTTACACCCTACGCAAATGTTTTTAATTTTGAAACGGTTTACGCTACTGGCTGACTTTAATCAATAAACGAAAGAAAAACTTATGCATTGGTATGACAGAATTTCACTTTACACCTCACGTGCAATCAGGTTAGTAATTTCGTTTTAATAAATTTATCCAAACTAAAGTATCTTACTCATAACGCGTTACCTGTTGTATTATCGGTTCCTTTTAAAAGCGTACATGAATGCATACAGTTTAAAAAATCATAACTTTTGGCAAAACTATTGGAAATATTCTTTGAGATCACAGTATTTACTTTAACAAACTTAATTAACGACGTAACATTTAAACTATAATTCACCATAATCTTTCGTGGTTTGAGTACATGGAAGTTTAATACAAACAATTATCTGCATTTTTCATCACATTATTTTAATTATCTATTTCTGAATGTATTACTAACTGTTCTTACTACTTAGAAGCAAATTGAGTTGTCAGCATTGACTCAAATAGTCAGAAGTTAGTCTTACTTCTCGATTTGTACTGATTAGAATAGTGACAAATGGAAGCATAGCAGAGTAACCAATTCACCACATGTAGTGATCACAGGCTAAGCAGGATCCCATTTGAGTGAATCTTATCTTTTTTATTGAGTAATCTGAAATATGTGCATACCTTACTGCAGTCAATGTTTTGTAAGAAGAAAGTAACTCTTTTCTGACTTTTATGGTGTAACGATGGACAAGAAGCTAAAACGCTTTTTGACAGAATACGTTTACGTAACGATATGTCTTAATAATGGTTTTTTTGTTTTCTCATGAGATGTGAATGACATATGATTTTACATTATAAAGCAAAACTCCTCACAAAACCTTCTTTCTACAACTTTTAGATTCTGTTAAATATTATCTTTTTTCAAAACGACCGAGTTCTTTCCTAAAACGTTATTGCTAAAGATGATTTTTATTTTCAAACATTTTTCGAATAGCTTATTTTACTCCAAGTAAATTAATGATTATAGGTGACCCATGATGAAAGCCGGCTCTTGAATAAATAGTTAGCCGAACTTTGTGATTACTACTTCATATCGGAGGGCTGATGTTGACTGAAGAAAAGATATTTTTGTGTCGGTTCATTTAAAAATGGTTGAGTTAAACATTGTAGTTGTGAATTATAATCTTGTAATGAATATGTGACCTCAACCTATCAACTTCTAGTTTCAATTATTAGATTGTCTTAGTTTGACTCCTTTATTACTACAAACTGTCATCAATCGTTTTAATTACTTAATATACGCTTATTTTACATACTAACAGAGTAATTGAGCTGCTTTTTCTCCCATTCTTTACCATTTTAGGTTCTAACACATGCTGCTTTCTACGCACGCAGCATCAGGTTAGACAGTCAGTCAGTCAGCTACAACGTAAATGGATGGAACGCTAAAACATACGATCTAATATCATTGGCATTGATATATAAAGTAAATGTTGGCAAAATGAGAATTAAACAGCTCAAAATATTTTATCAATACACAGTACAATCTTAAACACTGCAAATCTAAAGGACTAGTGACTTAGTTTACTCCAAGGCCTTTTGAAACTAAGCTAGTTATCTCTACTAGTTAGTGAATGTATATTTCTACGGCATAAAAACTAGAAATTGTTTTGATTGTCTATATAAACTTAGTTTAAAAATGTATAGCGATAATAAGTAGCTGTATAAAAGAAAATATTTTTTATATACAACGGCGTATACATGAAAATGCTCGACTTGGTGAAAAATGAGATAGCGTAATTACGCTACAAAATTTGCTGAAGTAGTCTACAAATTGAACTTATTTACGTCTAGGTTCACCATAAAACTCAAAGTGCCATCCCACTTACTGCAATAATTATTTTCAGTAGCTTTCGGGCTCAAAGGGCCCCTTTCAGAATCAAACAACATCGATCTTGTGTTGTGTCTTGCTGTTTTCATGTCATTGACATACTTTTGGGGTGTGTCTGGGGGATATCCAGTCTTATCCCTTAATTTATATTGCGAAGAAGAATTATGGCCATATCCGAATGCGTTTCCACATAAATTTAGGTGTTCCAACTTATTTTCCAAAGAAGAATTTAAAGGTAAATTGGACTGCATTATAAAAAACTGATAATAAGTTTAGTGCTAGCACGATTACGGAAATTCCAGATGAGATGTCATCTTGTTCATCCCACCGCTAAAAGTTCATAAGGATAAAGCTATCAGCTTGCATGATTCAAACAAATTAGACTGTGGAGATGGACCTGTCAAGCTTATTTTGTAAATAGTTTTCAATGTTATTTGTATTTACTTTGTCAGCCTTCCACTGTATGTATATTTAACATTAAATGACTGTAACTGTTGTTTTAGTAAATGACCTTGAACACACTTTCCGTTGTACTGCTACATTGCGTGCCATACCGCTGCTAGCTAACAAATACAACGCTTCTCGCACACTCATCGTTCTATTTCCATTTGTGATTGAGATATCCGAAGTCTAAATCAAATTCTATCTTCATTTATAGACTGTAACCGAAATATATCACATTCAACGTTGGATTATATCATTAGAGAGTTCACCAACTTGTTCAGAATCAACAAACATTTATAATTGTGGATTTACTTTACTGGACCTAATCCTAACACGCGACGTCTGATCAATTTAAGTAACGTCCCCAATTTTTATCGTATTTGTGACAATTAATTATATATATTAATATTACTATTGATTTTAATAACTTTGTTTATATTTTTTTGTGTTCATATCTGTTTGGTCCACCACAATTATTTGGTGAGCCTTGAATTCATTATAGACGTTTACTGTTTATATATATATTCATTTTTTTATTACTTGGCACGCTAGTCCATTTATATTTGTTTTTGCCATCATGAATTCTCCTGGTAAACTCATTGATATAGATAGTCCACTGATCAACTCCTTGAACTCTTCACAGTCAGAAGATAATGCCTTAACCTCGATCAACGCAATTTCAGACTTAAGACTACCAACGTTCGGCGTTAATAATCCCAGAATCTGGTTTGCACAAATCGAAGCTTTGTTCATGGCTAGAGGTATAAAATCTCAGGCAACAAAGTATGCTTATGTAGTTGGGGCACTCCCTATCGAGATTGCTGCGGAAGTCGGAGATTTAATCGATCACGTGCCAGAAGCTGAACCTTATGATAAATTAAAGACAGCCGTAATCCAACGCACCTCGGTTTCAGATGAGAGAAGACTGCAGCAATTGCTAACTTCTTGCGAATTGGGGGACAAGAGACCCTCGCAATTACTCCGACATATGAAACACTTAGCAGGGCCATATAAGGTAGACGATGCATTGCTTAAACAGATGTGGTTTCAACGTTTACCACAGAATGTCACCCAAATTCTCAGCATATCAGGAACTTCCGTCAATCTCGACGATCTAGCTGATATGGCTGACAAAATGATGGAGATTTATCCCGACAGCCAACGTTTGAATGTACTACAGACCTCTAGTGGAGACACGATTAGCCCATCTAACAGCATCCAACAACAAATAACACAGTTAACACAACAGCTAGCAGCACTACAAGCGACTATTTCTACCATACATTCTCGACCTGCCAGATCTAGGTCCAGAAGGAGATCAGTATCCAGACCTCGTCTTAGGTCACCCAAACGGACATCAGATACTTGCTGGTATCACGCGACTTTCGGGGAGAAGGCACGCCGTTGCACTAAACCATGCAACTTTAAAATAAGCAACTCAAAAGACCAGGGAAACGAGACGGCCAGACAGTGATGGCGGCGCCTGTTTCTGGCCACTACCCGAGCCGTCTATTTCACGTCAGGGATCGGATTTCGGGCTCAGATTTTTTGGTCGATACAGGAGCCGAAATCAGCATAGTCCCATTACACCTTTCTCAACGACGGCACTCGCAAAGTACTAAATTGTCTCTAGTCGCTGCTAATAACACAGTCATTAAAACTTATGGTGAACAATCACTCATCTTAGATTTTGGTCTCCGTAGACGTTTCACATGGGTTTTCATCGTAGCTGAAATTAAACAACCCATTCTCGGGGCCGACTTTCTTGGTGCTTACAGCCTATTGGTAGACATGGGGAAAAAGAAACTTATTGACAAGAACACAAGTTTGCAGGTCAGTGGCACTCCTGCCTCGAATTACGAAATTCATGGCGTTCGAATGTTAAGACCTGAAAACAAAATTTTCACTGATATCCTGTCGAAGTACGAAAGTATAACCAGAACTGATTACCAAAACGAATGCTCCACACATCATGTTCAACACAATATCTCTACTACAGGACCACCCATTCGTGCTAGGGCGCGAAGACTCCCACCAAACAAGTTGCAGTTCGCTAAGAGAGAATTCGAACACATGATGCAGCTTGGGATAATCAGACAATCTAACAGTCCTTGGGCCTCGCCGTTGCATATGGTTCCCAAGAAAGATCAAGACTGGCGCCCATGTGGAGATTATCGCCGACTAAATAACCAGACTATCCCAGACAGGTATCCAATCCCTCATTTACATGATTTTTCTTTAAATTTACATGGAAAACAGATTTTTTCAAAGTTAGATCTAGTTCGAGCATACCATCAAATACCGATGGCGCCTGAAGATATCGAAAAAACAGCTGTAATTACACCTTTTGGCTTGTTTGAATTTTTGAGGATGCCTTTCGGACTAAAAAACGCCGCTCAAACCTTTCAGAGATATATGGATGAAGTAACTAGAGGTTTGGAATTTGTATTTGTCTATATCGACGACGTTTTAATCGCTAGTTCTTCCACTGAAGAACATGTTCAGCATTTACACACGCTTTTTGAACGTTTCAAAAGTTATGGTGTTGTAATCAACCCTTCGAAGTGCATATTTGGAGCCTCATCTCTGGAATTCCTAGGACACCATATTGATTCCCAAGGAATTAAACCGCTTGAAGAAAAAGTCAAAGCCATCTCCAGCTACCCAGAACCAACCTCAGTAAAATCACTACGTCGTTTTCTGGGAACATGCAATTTTTATCGTCGATTTCTACCAAATTGCGCCGATGTACTACAGCCATTGACAGATTTACTGAAAAATGATAAATCAGGTACCAAGAAAGAAAAAAACCAAATATTTAAGTTACCTTCTGATGCTAAAGTAGCATTCGAAAAAGCTAAATCCATGATTGCTAATGCTACCATGCTTCAACATCTAAATACTGACCCCACAACACAGTTGATCCTATGCACAGACGCTTCACAAAAAGCCGTCGGGGCGGTATTACAACAGCGAGTAAACAACTCGATTACCCCAATCGCCTTTTTCTCCAAGAGATTATCACCAACACAAGAACGTTATAGCACTTTTGGACGCGAACTCTTGGCTATGTATTTAGCGGTAAAACATTTCAGTTTTCTGTTACAGGGTCGCGATTTCATCATTATGACGGATCATAAACCCCTTTGCCATTCTTTTGGCACATCGTATGACAAACACTCGCCACGAGAAGCAAGACAATTGGATTACATCTCCCAATTCACTACAGACATCCGGTTTATCAACGGTCACTCAAACATTGTCGCTGATGCACTGTCTAGGAGAGATATCAATATGATGGTACGCAATCATGACATCAGCCTTGAAACTTTGGCTAAACTTCAAGTAGACGATGCAGAGTTGAAAGTCTGCAAAGAAAAGTCTAGCTTAAACCTCAAACCTGTACCAATTCCGCTTTCAGATGCATTCATCATGTGTGACACCTCAACAGGCAGCAATCGTCCGTTTGTCCCACATGCCTGCAGACGAAAAATATTTCAGCACTTACACGGTCTTTCACATCCAGGCATCAGAGCAACAACAAGGCTCATCACTGAACGTTTTGTGTGGCCGAAAATCAACTCGGACGTTAAGCGTTGGACACGTAGCTGCCTCCAGTGTCAACGCAGCAAAATACAAAAACATACTATCAGCCCGATCGGCGAATTTCCTATTCCCGACAAACGTTTTCAACATATTCATTTGGATTTAGTTGGGCCACTGCCCCCGTCCAATTCCTTTACCCACATTCTCACCGCAGTAGACAGATTTACAAGATGGGCCATAGCCTGCCCCATAAAAGACACTTCCGCAGAAACGATAGCTGGCGTTTTCCTTGAGCGTTGGATAGCAAATTACGGAGTACCTTCTATCGTCACTACAGACCGTGGTCCCCAGTTTCAGTCTATCTTGTTTCAGGAATTTACAAGACTTCTGGGCGTGAACCACATCAAAACAACAGCTTACCACCCAGCAGCTAATGGCATGGTTGAAAGATTTCATCGCCAATTAAAAAGCTCGCTGATGGCCCAAGATGATACAACCAAATGGAGTGACGCATTACCACTTGTACTCCTCGGTATTCGTTCAACCATAAAGGAAGACATTGGATGTACAGCCGCCGAGTTAGTCTATGGTACAACTCTAACGTTACCTGGCCAACTAGTCAACTATGAACCTACAACGCCAGGAGAGACTACTCACTTCGCAAGTCGCCTATTACAAACTATGCAGAATATTAAAGCAATACCCCCTCGTGAACACAACAATCGAGTCCAACTTGATAAAAACCTTGAAACGTGCAAATTTGTCTTTGTCCGAGTAGATACGGTTAAAAAACCATTGAAACAACCATATAAAGGTCCATATAAAGTAATTAAACGCACACAAAAATACTTCATCGTCAACAGAGATGGCAACAAGCAGACTATTTCTATAGACAGAATAAAACCTGCTTTCTGTGAAGCTACTCAAGTCAAGGAAGACAACGCCGTTGATAATCAACCCCTCCCACCAGCGACTGAACAACCAATGGAGGATAAAAAACTTAATACTAAGCCCCCTTGTTTAACACGCTCCGGTAGACCTATAAACAAACCCAAGCGTTATGTCCATTTCGTTGATTAAAAAAAAAGCAAAACACACACCTCTCTATGCCACACACTACTAATTTCACCCAAAAAAATTTTTTTTTCCTTTTCACAGTGTACATAATCACATTTTTCCACAATTACTCGTTTTGTCAGTTTTTAAAAAAAAAAAAAAATTTTTGTTTTGTTTTTGTCACACTAATAAACGAGTAAACTCTGTTTAGTTATTCATTTATCGTATACAAACATAAACAGTTCAATTTTTTTTGGCTCTTTAGCATTTTTACACATTATTATTATCATTGTCAGCCAACCAAGGCATTAAATGACAGTGTCTTCATTTTTTTTTGTGTGTGTGCTTATTATACTATGCTACATCTCTACTACACGTCATACTCATCTCCACATTTTTGTTGGTTATAACTGTAAATATTATTTTTGTATACATGTATATATCACACCCTTACATTTTTTCTATTATAACCAGTGTTACCTCCGGACACTCTGGGGGGAGCTATGTGGAGATGGACCTGTCAAGCTTATTTTGTAAATAGTTTTCAATGTTATTTGTATTTACTTTGTCAGCCTTCCACTGTATGTATATTTAACATTAAATGACTGTAACTGTTGTTTTAGTAAATGACCTTGAACACACTTTCCGTTGTACTGCTACATTGCGTGCCATACCGCTGCTAGCTAACAAATACAACGCTTCTCGCACACTCATCGTTCTATTTCCATTTGTGATTGAGATATCCGAAGTCTAAATCAAATTCTATCTTCATTTATAGACTGTAACCGAAATATATCACATTCAACGTTGGATTATATCATTAGAGAGTTCACCAACTTGTTCAGAATCAACAAACATTTATAATTGTGGATTTACTTTACTGGACCTAATCCTAACACGCGACGTCTGATCAATTTAAGTAACGTCCCCAATTTTTATCGTATTTGTGACAATTAATTATATATATTAATATTACTATTGATTTTAATAACTTTGTTTATATTTTTTTGTGTTCATATCTGTTTGGTCCACCACAAGACATTCTGAACAGTTTTTAAATATGAAATATATAAGGAGTAATGAATGTTTATATACTGGAAATTTTGTATATTTACACCTCTTATTCTAAAATTTGAGCTTCTTAAGCTGTTACGTAAACTGATGAGATCGAAATTTTCTCATATTCTACCGACATCAATTGGCCACTCTAACTTTTTTGAAAGAAAGTATACATTGTTTCCTTCACATATGGCTAAGTATGGATGTTTTTGGATGGCTTTCGAAGGTATAGACATGAAATCCACAGTTTCAATGCACCTTAACTTTTAACAATTATTCAACCAAACTAGAAGACAGATCTGGTATTCTTACCATGGATCTTGTTTTTTACCTCAGATGAGAAAAAATAGGAGACTGTGAGATTCAACAGAGTTGTTAAACAAGTCTCTTAAAAAAAATAAACTAGTGGAAAGTATAACAATAACAGGCAATGGTAGCTCTGCCTGTAGCTATTCTAGGGTTATTGCCAGTCATGAGCCCAGTTAATGAAGGGACGTCGGGTATAGAGTCAGCAGCTTCATTACATAGAAAACAACCTTGCTAAGAAAGACGACGGAAAGAAAAAAATTTAAACCATTAAGACCCTGCCCTCAGAGTTGAGGAGTTTTCATTCAGAAAAATCATGACACTACATGGTGACAGTCAAGAAGTCATGAGAAACAACTACTTTAGGTAAATGGAATATCCGAACAATGTGGAGTACTGGGAGGAAACTTAAACTAAAAAAGCATTGGACTAATGGGCAAACAGCATCACAATCTTTCAATACAGGCTTCTCTCGAGAGACTTTATTTAGCTCGTGAGAGAGTCACA